GATACCTAAACCTCCACCATCTGAAAAGAATTTCTGACGCCCCCACGCGCGATATAGTCACGCATTCACATACAGCACATTTGCATGCACTTGCTCTATCCTCTACCCCCCGCTTCTTGCATCGAATTGCACGCTTAGCATTCAACTATTCATCCAAGCGCCAACAGCGAGCTGACTCGTCCAAACAAGTCACCAGCCATCGCCACACACCCAAGTCTTTTGACGTCGAGACTACACCAACACACAAACGGCAAAACCGGCGGGGTGGTACGCCGAACTCGACAGATCGACGATTGTGCCGCTGGCTTCAGTCGACGGTTGAGGGGTGTCTGCTGTTTGACTACGCCGTAAAGCGAGCTTGTCCCGCAATGAGTCGGGCTACGAGGTAGGCTAAGCAGCCCTAACCAGTAGTCCTGCGCAGCTGTTGGAAACAGACTCAGATGTATGCTTTACCTCGCGGAGAAGCATAATGGCGCGGTGTTGTCGTAGGCGCCCCAGCACAGCGTACAAGTGAGTGTGAGTCGAACAAGAAGGTGGACACAACGTGGATTGAACAAAGCGGACGCGCTAACCACTGCGCTATGCGCCCAGCAAATCGATAACCTAACCTCCACCTTTGACACAAATTTATGACGCCCCCACGCGCGATATAGTCACGCATACACATACAGCACATTTGCATGCACTTGCACTATCCTCTACCACCCGCTTCTTGCATCGAATTGCACGTTTGGCCTTCAACTATTCATCCAAGCGCCAACAGCGAGCTGACTCGTCCAAACAAGTCACCAGCCATCGCCACACACCCGAGTCGTTTGACGTCGAGACTACACCAACACACAAACGGCAAAACCGGCGTGGTGGTAGGACGAACTCGACAGATCGACGATTGTGCCGCTGGCTTCAGTCGACGGTTGAGGGGTGTCTGCTGTTTGACTACGCCGTAAAGCGAGCTTGTCCCGCAATGAGTCGGGCTACGAGGTAGACTAGCCAGTCTTTACCAGTCCTGCGCAGCTGTCGAAAACAAAGCCAGATGTATGGTTTGCCTCGCGGAGAAGCATAATGGCGCGCTGTTGTCGTAGGCGCCCCAGCACAGCGTGCAAGTGGAGGTGAGTCGAACAAAGAGTTGGACACACCGGGGATTGAACCCGGTGGCCTTCCGCTTGCAAAGCGGACGCGCTACCACTGCGCTATGCGCCCAGCAAATCGATAACTTAACCTCTACCTTCCACACGAATTTATGACGCTTCCACGCACGATATAGTCACGCATACACATACAGCACATTTGCATGCACTTGCACTATCCTCTACCACCCGCTTCTTGCATCGAATTGCACGTTTGGCCTTCATCTATTCATCCAAGCGCCAACAGCGAGCTGACTCGTCCAAACAAGTCACCAGCCATCGCCACACACCCGAGCCTTTGACGTCGAAACGACACCAACACACAAACGGCAAAACCGGCGTGGTGGTAGGACGAACTCGACAGATCGACGATTGTGCCGCTGGCTTCAGTCGGCGGTTGAGGGGTGTCTGCTGTTTGACTACGCCGTAAAGCGAGCTTGTCCCGCAATGAGTCGGGCTACGAGGTAGGCTAAGCAGCCCTAACCAGTAGTCCTGCGCAGCTGTCAGAAACAGAGCCAGATGTATGGTTTGCCTCGCCGGAGAAGCATAATGGCGCGGTGTTGTCGTAGGCGCCCCAGCACAGCGTGCAAGTGGAGGTGAGTCGAACAAAGAGTTGGACACACCGGAGATTGAACCCGGGGCCTTCCGCTTGCAAAGCGGACGCGCTACCACTGCGCTATGCGCCCAGCAAATCGATAACCTAACCTCCACCTTCCACACAAATTTATGACGCCCCCCACGCGCGATATAGTCACGCATTCACATACAGCACATTTGCATGCACTTGCACTATCCTCTACCACCCGCTTCTTGCATCGAATTGCACGTTTGGCCTTCAACTATTCATCCAAGCGCCAACAGCGAGCTGACTCGTCCAAACAAGTCACCAGCCATCGCCACACACCCGAGTATTTTGACGTCGAGACGACACCAGCACACAAACGGCAAAACCGGCGTGGTGGTAGGACGAACTCGACAGATCGACGATTGTGCCGCTGGCTTCAGTCGACGGTTGAGGGGTGTCTGCTGTTTGACTACGCCGTAAAGCGAGCTTGTCCCGCAATGAGTCGGGCTACGAGGTAGGCTAAGCAGCCCTAACCAGTAGTCCTGCGCAGCTGTTGGAAACAGAGCCAGATGTATGGTTTGCCTCGCGGAGAAGCATAATGGCGCGGTGTTGTCGTAGGCGCCCCAGCACAGCGTGCAAGTGGAGGTGAGTCGAACAAAGAGTTGGACACACCGGGGATTGAACCCGGGGCCTTCCGCTTGCAAAGCGGACGCGCTACCACTGCGCTATGCGCCCAGCAAATCGATAACCTAACCTCC